CAGAGTTTAGTGGGGATATGCACTGCACCGTGCTTAGCTGCGCCTAATTGTACGTTCTCATGAGTACGAGGGGTACTCACCGTTATGAAAATTATAGGAAAGGTACACATATGTCAAGTTTGGGAAACACTGGTCTAGAGGCAACAAACCTCATCAACTTATTTTGTCTGAAAATGTCTTAATTCTTCCTTCTTAATTATTTTTATTTCTTTCAAAGAGAAAAGAGAGGGCGTTAGCATCAATGAAAATCATCGATCTTCTGCAGAAACCGGTTTGGCTCAGTGGTAGAGCGTCAGTCTGCAGACTGAAAGGTCCCAGGTTCGATTCTGGTCAAGGGCATGTACATTGGTTGCGAGCACATCCCCGGTAGGGCGTGTGCAAGAGGCAGATGGTCAATGATTCTCTCTCGACATTTCTAGCTCCCTATCCCTCTCCCCTCCTCTCTGTAAAAAATCAATAAAATATACTTAAAAAATAAAATCTTTGTGAGATCAGATCTTTCTCAGGGACAGCATCTGTTGATTTGTTTTCCTTTGGTGGCCGTATTTCCGTTGCCATATATTGTTATATTGTTGCACACTGGGCATCTGAATCTGTTAACTTTGGAAATAAGATCCCTCCCCCCCCCCCCCCCAGGGCAGCTGGATTTGTTATTCATTTATTATTAGTATTATTTTTATAGGCTGTGCCTGTGCAAAGCCTCAGCCTGAGGATACACTTTAAGGTCTTCCCAGGTCTCTCTGGGCCTCTGCCTTTCACCAGGCATATGAGGTCAGCTTCCAATTTCCCGTACATACGCAGCTCCTGTCAATGTCCTAGTCTTTAATGTCTGGCTTCCGAAAGGCGAAATGAGAGGCAGGAAGTAGGGCACCAATCTTTAAATCTCTCAGAAGTTACTTCAGCCTGAGAACAGGCTCACGACACTCGGGAGAAATGAAACAATGGCTTCCCTGCTCCTTGTACTTATCCAAAGCAGCCTTTTATCAGTATAAAACCATAAGGCATGTGGAAAACAAAGGGTCTTTGGGGCCCACACGAGCTCCTGAAAGATGTGTGCATGTTGGGGGAGAATGGGTAAGCTGCTGCGTGCCAGAGTCTGAAATTAACCCAAACGAACTGGAACTCGACTCTCCAAGGAAGTTGAAAGCCTTCACTAGACTCCAGAAGTTCCAAAACAGTTGTGAGAAACAGTGTGATTGTTAGCTAGGTGGGGAGAGATTCCTGGTGCTTCAGACTCTTCCCAGAATCCTTTTACCAATATTTTACTGTCGTTTCAGGATTGAGGTCTAATTAGGTTCAACTGACAATCTTTGCTAGAAGTCACAATTGATTTCTAAATTTCTGTGTAGCTCTTTTAATCAACAATTGATTTCTAAATTTCTGTGTAGCTCTTTTAATCAATATTCCTGGTTGTTTTAGTCATTGCTCTTAAACAAAAACAAGCCGTGGATAGAACGTCAGTCAGCGGACTGAGGGGTCCCAGATTCAATTCCGGTCAGGGGCATGTGCATTGGTTGCGGGCACATCCCGTGCGCGCGCGCGCGCGTGCGCAGGAGGCAGCTGGTCTGTCTCTCGACATTTCTGGCTCTCTATCCCTCTCCCTTCCTCTCTGTGGAAAATCAATAATACAAACCACCACCGTTGCCCTACCCTGGCTAGTGTTGATCAGTTGGCTGATGTCCAAGCACACCAGAAAGCATTGGGTTTAATTTCGTCAGGATAAGTGCCCAGGTTGCAGGTTTGATCTGTGGTTGGAGCATGTGAATCCATCCGTGACCTCCTGGTTCATAGGCAGACACTCAACCATTGACCACATAGGATGGGCTCTAAATTAATATATATATATATATATATATATATATATATATATATATATATATATATGTAATTTACATAAATACTTGTTAAAGGAACGAAAAAATGACCCAGGTTCTCATATATTCTTTATAGAATTATGTATGAATTGGCTTGGAGGGGAAAGCATGTTTTAAATCAATCACCTCTCAATGCCACATCCATTTATTCACCCAAACATCCATCCACCAATGTACCTAGTCATTCACCCACCCACCCTCGGCTCTACCCACCCATAACCTTTCCAGTCATTTGGTGATTCCCTGGGTATCCCGTGTGCAAGCAATTCTAGGGCCTTGGGGTGCAGATATTAGCTTTGTCCCTGCCCTTAGAGATGGCAATCTTTGGGGGGAAAATGGAAACTTTGCTATAGGCAGGCTTGAGGATGAGGCACTGCTGCCTCCTCCTCCTCCTCACTACTCACTGCACTCAACTACAGGGAGTAGCTCCCAATTTCTAGATGTGCCCCACCCAGAGGGCAGAGTCCCACACACACACCCCCCCCCCCCCCAAGGGAGAAAGCACTGAACATTAATTTAGAGAACACCACTCCCCAACTTTAGGACTCAAATTGGTACCTTGTAAGATCCTCTACTTCAGAAAAAGACTTTCTTAGAAAGCAATCTCCCTGTTTCTCTTTTAACTAAACATACACGCGGTATCCAATTATATAACTATAAGCATACCCTATTTTTACTGTGCTTCACAGATTTTTTACAAATCAAAGAAAGGTAAAGACCCTTCACTGGTAAAATGATTACAACTCAGTTTTATTGGGGTGGTCTGCAACCAATCCTGCAATATCTCTATATACTTGACATCTGAATTCCCTTGTTATGTGCCCATAAAGAATTCATAAAATCACATTAAGGCAGACCCTTTCAGTTTAAAATCAATTCAAGTTGCAGATCAGGAACAAAGACCTAAGGAAAGCCACTGACTAAAGGTAATAAGCAACATCTGTTTTTGAATAGGACCGGCAACTGCAGAAGGAAAAGTCCAACACAAATTCAAAACAGCAGCTACAAAACAGAGCACATTTCAATAATCCAGCATCTTATGAAAATCGACAATTTTAACATTGAAGAAGACACAACATATAATTGTAACATTGTTTTAATCAAGTAATGTAGCAGTTTAAAACAAGGAATTTTAAGACAGTTGAATAGATCAAAGTGAAGGGTCACTCTATTAGGATAGCCTCTGTGAATAAAATTATGTGGATTTCAATATATTGGAATTTTGGCACCAGACTCAACACCAGTCTATGCCAGAATTTTACTTAGTGTTTAGAAGCCCTAAATATAGTTTCCTTCAGGTTAAAAGGAAAGCAAAACAAAAAAAGCCTCTATAACAGAACCTCATTAGCTTGACACTGGGTATGTTGAGTGCAATCTGGCCTATACCACCAGTATCTCCTATAGGATGTCAGATAATGAAAGCAAATTAGCCAATGGCAAATCATTTGAAACCTAGGTGAGATGTGAATTTGCAAAACCCTTTTCTTTGGTGTGACAAAGCACATTCCCTCCAGATACAGCATCTGTTCACTATCACCAAAATCTATCAAAAGGCAGCTGGAGTCTAATTCATTCTCTCTCCAGTAAAATTACTAGATTGTAATTTCTTAAAACATCAGCTAACAAGACTTTATTACATCAAATGTTTGTATAATTTCAATGTGAAAAATCTCCTACATACATTTGTTAAGGTCTCATTATAATCTGAGATGGATCAAAGAAAGTCAGAGGTGAATGAAGAAAGCCCATGCTCCAAAAACGAATCCCGTGACTCTTGATTCCCACAGAACGCTTTTTATGCTAAGAAATAACTGCAACAATTTCTCAAAACCCTTTTAGATCATCTTTTGGGCAAAGAATTCACAAGAAGTTATTTCCAAATCTAAAGACCAGGATGGGCTGGGCCAGGCCCTAATCACCTGTATTCAGTGGCCATCACCAGACTTCCTGAGTGTCTAACTATATTCAATGTGAAATAAAAGACACCCAAGTCTCCTGCCAAAATATAGGCTTAGAAGTACAATTTTAGTTAGCTTTTTAAATAAGACATTTTTGGGGGAGAAAAATCAAGCTCAAGACATAGCAACACTAATTTTGGCAAGATAACAACCAAAACCTATATGTTCAAATGTAAAGGCATTCTAGAACAAGCCATAGTATTAGGGAAAACCCACACTGAACAAACTATACAGTATGTCTAAACATTTTGAAATTGTAATTTAAACCGTAAAAGCTGAAAAATATGCTGTTTTTTGCTAGAGATTAAGTGCACCTTTTTCTTTTTCCCCCCAAATAAAATCATGGAACTTACTATCTAATCAGACCCCAAAGCTTGAGCCTTCCCTCAGCACAAACAGCTACATAGACATAAAATGCTCACTTGTTAATAATTCCCCTGGCTCATCCAATTTGCAATGCATATGACTTCAAAGACTACAGTTTGGGGTAAGGGTATGTGAACTGGAAAAAAAAATATTCAAGTTTCAAAACCTGCTTTTAAAAATTATAGGACACTCAGGTCATTTTTACTCTTAGTAAGATAAAGATGTTGCACTGTCCACCTGGCATGGTAAGAATGTAATTACCAGATGCCAATTTGAGGAACTAGAGATAAGACTTTAAAAAGTACTGTGTTTAATGGCTAAATAAGGTAATTAAAATAAGTTTATGCTCACATTCTGCTAAAGACGTGTTTACAGTCTCAGCACCGAACAATTTCTAACAGGCTCCAAGAATCCCTATGAGGTTAAATGATGGTACAGTGTTTTTAAAAGGAGCCAATTGCTTCAGCAGCGTAAGTCATTCAGAGCCAAAAAATTTAAGAATGACCAAAATCAAATCTTTATTTTTATAACTGTATAAATGTGATCCAAATGTGTCCACCACTAATTTTTCAAAAAGAAACATGCTATAAATAAGCAAACTACATCTGTTCACTGATATGTGTATGGACTCCCGAGGTGTCTCATTGGGGCTTAATTACAGATCACTCACAGCAATACGTATTTAGCAGAAAGTGTAGCATGATGTTAAGCCATGTTAGCTTTTGCACACACATGTTGCACTTCTGCTGATGATGCAGGAAGAGTCTCAGCATCACAGATAAGCTGGGCTGCACCCACCCCTCTAAATGGCATCAATATCAATGTCATCTTCCTTGCTGTCAGGCTTCACAGCTTCCACTTTGGGCACACTGGCCGTCTTCGAGTACACCACCTGATAAGACAAATATCAAGTCCATGCTAAACCAAGAAAATGGCCGAGGTGCAGCCTTCCTCCTTCACTTAACCCCTCCATCCCCCAACAAGCTCGCTCCACAGCCTACCAGGACCCTGTTCCTTTTTACAGACCACTAGCAGTTCTATATGCAACCTGCATTACTTAAATCTTACGTTGGAAACTCTGGCATTTATTTGAAATCATGTCTGGGGATATGAGTATCACCCTTTATACTCAGGATTATTCTCCAAATTACTGGGCTGCATCTTATTGCCTCAGTCACCCAAATCTGCCTTTTTACAACTGTCATGCACCCATCACTAGCACTAGATTAACTCCCCAGTGCTTACCTCAATGTTTTCATCTTCATCTTCTTCTTCACCACCAGAAGACTCCTCCTCTGCTTCCTTCAACCACTTTATAAATGGTTCTGCTTTGACACGAATCTCTTTGGCAAGTTCTTTTGAAACATATTTCTTTGAGGCCTAAAGAACATTAGTATAGTTTTCTTAGTTTGAAGAATTTAAAATGAGTTATTTATATAGCTCTCAGGGAACTGGGTCATACTGTAATCTTGAATCATCAACAAAATACATGCATTCCACAAAAAAAGTGTTACGAGTCTGAAAAGCTTCTTGTTCCAAGCTGCCATGGCGGGGCATCCCCTCCCAATTACATTAGTCAAGCAGAGGAATTGCATTTTCATGTGCCTGTTTATATATCCCCCACCTTTTCTGACCAGCTGATGATGACTTCTTCCTCCAAAAGGTCTGCGTCATACATTTCCTTCAAGATGTGTGGAATCTTGGAGAGCAGCTGAGCTTGATGCATTGCTACCACACACTCCAAACCATGAAGAAGGTAACGTTGAGCTTTTTTATTGTTGTGACAAAACTGCAAATAGATTATCTTTGAGTTAACAAGCTGTTAGATGTTTTAAGTTTATAATTTTAACATCCAAGTACATTCACTGCCTTAGGGTGGTTCCTTAAAGATATAGCCCCTAACCGCGGTTCAAAATGGTCCACACACGCAGAACTCTGCATTACTTTATCTGTAAGAGACCATGCGCAGTTCTCAGACAGTCCCATGCTTTTAAGGCACGCCAATTATCTCCGCTTTCAGGATGACAGAGAACAAATGAGCAAGTTAAAGTGATGTTCCCAAGGTCACACAGCCTTAATGTCATTTATGAATCTCAAATGTGCTTACTCGTAGGAAATGGCGCCTGTATTTTTTAATCTGTTCTCTAATCTTCTCATTAAAAAGAACTTCAGTCAAAACAAGAGGTCCCATAGCTTTTACATCCAGTCTTTCTGCTTCAGCAACAATTTCTTTGTCCGATGAGTCGATAATACCCTCTTCTTTCTTTTTCTGCAAATAAAAGGAAGCAATTCAGTGAAACGGAGATACATTTTGCTCTAGAGATATAGGTTATCCCTACTCTCATGGACATTTCCTCTAATTTGACAGTTCTAAGACTTCTATGATCAATAGCAGCCAGAAATAATGCCTAGAATCACACCCAAAAAAATATGTGAATGAACAAATAGGAAAAGTAAAAGCCAGCCTTGCATTTGAAGATTCAAAAGATAGCATGAAGTTACCTGACAAGTATCAGCTTAAAATATTGTTGATCAATAGCCTAAAGCTGATTTTATCGATTAAAAAACAGCATGGCTCAGTGGCTGAGCTTTGACCTATGAACCTGGTATTTAGTTGGATTCCTGGTCAGGAATGCGAACCCGATCCCCACTGTGGTGTGCAGAAGGCAGCCATCAATGATTCTTTTTCATCATTGATGTTTCTCTCTTACTCTCTGAAATCAATAAAAAAATTTTAAAAACATGTTCAACAGCTCTCAAAGCAAATATTTTTACCTTAACAAAATCAAACAGGATATTGACCCGTTCTTCAACAGTTCTTTCCAAATCATCACTGAGTGTTAGAACTTTTGCATGGTCACTGATTTCATCCATTCTGCGCCTCTGAGCTTCCTCAGTTGTATCCTCCCCCCAGTCATCATCCTCTTCTTCTTCCTGTTTACAAGAGAAAGACAAGTGACCAAAGGCCTTAAAATGTAAAAAGCCCAGCCGTCATGGCTCCACGGTTGAGTATCAACCTGTGAAACAGGTCACAGTTCAATTCCCGGTCAGGGCACATGCGTGGGTTGCAGGCTCAATCCCTAGTGTGGGGTGTGCAGGAGGCAGCCAATCAATGATTTTCTCTTAAATTGACTAGAGGCCCAGTGCACAAAATTTGTGCACTTTGGGGGGGGTAGTGTGGGGTGGGTGTGGATGGTGGTGGTGTCCCTTAGCAGGCCTGCACCCTCTCAGCAATCCAGGAGCCCTGTGGGGAGTGGGCCTAAGCCATCAGTCAGACACCTTAGCATTACCTTGGAGGCGGGAGAGACTCCCACCACCTACACTGTGCTCACCAGCCTGGCTTCCCACAGGGGAAGCGCACTGACCACCAGGGGGCAACTCCTGCATTGAGCATTTGCCCCCTAGCAGTCAATGTGTGTCACAGTGACTGGACGAAATCGGCTCTCCAATGTCCCCCAGGGGTCCCAGATTGCAAGAGGGTGCGCAGGCCAAGCCGAGGGTCCCCACCAGGGAACGATCTGGGCATCCGGGCCAGGGAGGGCTCCAGGGTATGTCTGGCTCTTCTCACTCAGTCCCAATTGGCCAGACCCCAGCAGCAAACTAACCTACAGGTTGGAGTGCCTGCCCACCTTGTGGTCAGTGCTTATCAGTGAGCAGTTCAGTGGCCTTAGTGTATCATTAGCATATTACACTTTGGTGAAAAGGCCAACTAGACAACTGGGCACTTAGCATATTAGGCTTTTGTTATATAAGATGTTTCTATCTCTCTCCCTTCCTCTCTCAAAACAAAAAAAAAAATATTTTTAAGAAAGTTTCAGGTTTTTATCAACTCCACCTGGCACCCAAAACACTGTTGTGGTTTACAGTCTTTCTGCTCACTATAACCAAATTTATTTTACACAATCCAAATACCTACCAAGCTCTCAACCCTGCACTTACCACTGCATGTGGAGGGAGACTGATTTCATTTGCTGGTGGTGGTGGTGGTGGTGTCTCACTGCTGGACACAGAACCATTTTCCTTGTCTTTGCCCTTCCTATTTTTCTTTTCTTTTTCTTTCTTTCCTGTACCACTGTCACTATTCTCTACCAGGAAACAAAAAGGTAAAGTTCAGTATCACAACTTATTCTACTCTACCTTATTGCCCATCATGAACATTTAAAACCCTGCCTTTTGTTCCTGAACCCTCCTCTGAGAAAACCACACTGCTACTCAAAATTCGCAGAGGATTCACAGGCCAAAGGCATTCACTGTATTCAGTTTACAAATGGAATGTTCAAAAAAAATAATGTCCTGTTGGGTAACATTAAAATGACTCAGAACACCCAGCATTCAGGATTCTTTCCCATCATTCATGAAGTTGAACACAGGCATAGCTGAACACTGTTTAAGTCTATATAACGGCTCATCTCATAGAGGAGAGCACCGGAATAGGTTAGACTTTGTTGCTATAGCAAGCTCAAATTGTGTCAGACAGTGTCCATCATCTGCCACAGAGTGTTGCTTGCAATGCTCTCAAGTCACTTAAGCCCTTCATTCTCCTATGTGTTTTACAGCAACAAGGAAACTTCCATTTTCTTTCAAAGCATCAGTAGCTTTACAGGGAGATCTTAGAAGTTCATCAGGAAGACTTACCAGGTGGGTTTTTGAGAATGAATGTGCAGAGTTTATGATGTGTGTCAAGCATGCCTCGATAACCACAGGCTTTACAAGAATTACCTATTGTTTGCTTCTTTGGATTGACATGCTGCCAAAAAAGTAAAAACAAGTACATCACCCAGAATATATGATGAAAATTCTGAGCAGAAAGTGTAAAAAGATCTAACCAACAGAAAACATCTAAAACACCAGCTTAACATTAAAAGGAATTATTTTCCACAAAGTAATCTACTTCAAAAAAGTTACTATGAGTAATACTGTCAATAAATAAAAAGTCACTATGTGAACATCTCCAAAATTTACAGGTTTTTTGTTATACTTTTAAGTAAGTCTGTTCTGCCTTGTCAAAACATTTGTTGCTATCACAGGACTGATCATAAAAGCAGGTATACAGTTTCTTCTTTTATTGACAAACATCTCAAAGGCACTCACCAGCTCTGTTTCAGGATTCTCACACTCCGGACAAAGAACAAATTTTTTAATGAATCCATCCAACATGTCTTGCAGCTTATTCGCCTCATGAGATCCATTGACAATGTAACGGTCATTCTTAACATCAAACTGGGTCTGTGCTCCCAGCTCACAACCAAAATATTTGGTGGGATCTGTTTGGGGGGTTGGAGGGGGGAGAGAGAAATAGTTTGTTTACAATTAACTAAATCTACTCAGCTAGCTTTATGCAATTATCACTCCCTATGTTTTTAAAAGTTACTTTGTAGTGGATTAAGAAATCTGTTGCCTACATAGTTTATTCTACTAACAACAACAAATCAGTTGGCTTTAAATCCAAGGTTCTACTTAACCCTTACACTAGTTAGTATACAATCCAGGCAAGAGCTGCAGACCCAAGTTGGTCATTACTGTCAATACTATGCCTTTCAGACTTCTCCAAGAGGCATTACTTACACGTTGGAGGCCGATTAAGCGCCTTTGCAACGTCAACCATGTTGACTATAACTGTCTTGATTCCATTTCCTTTGCCCTCAACCTAAAGGAAATAAGAATTTAATTTTGCACTGTCTAGCCAAGAGATACATTCTTAAAGAATCTACCAAAAGAGCTCATAACTTGTTACTAAAATGAAGGAAAGTTACCACCTTGGCAATCAGACGGGGCATCTTGTAGCGATAGAACTGGTCTGACACGCTGCGGTTGACGTTGACAGACATTTTGGCTTATTAGTGGCTTTATCAATAAGATGAAGAGATCTTTGATTGCAACTTTTTGGTATCTTCTGTCTGGAGAAGAAGGGATGACATAAACGACTGCAAGAGTTCTCGGTCTCTGACATGAAAAAGTTTTCGCCACTGAGGCTGTAAGCTCCTTGCTTGTATGCTATATTCCCCCAATACAGGTACCAATGGCTGCGCAACAGCTCTGGAAGAAAAGGGAAAGAGAACACACAAGCCCCCACCTTTAGCATGACTCCCGCAGGAAGCACGACCCCCCTAGGACGGGGTCCCCGTTAATTCAGCCCCAATTCCCCGTGTTAAAGGGCACACGTGGAAACGCGTGTTCTCTGAGGCAGGACACCTGCGGCAACGCAGGTGATTTAAGAAATCGCTGTGTGATTTAAGACGTGAGAGCAGGGAAATGCCAGGCTAAAACCAACTGCCTCCAGCTGCCGTGGGTTCAGCATTCCCACAGCCCGCGGCCTCATTTCCACGCTGATGAACACTCAGCCCCTCTGCTCCCCGCGAGCCCCGTGAGGGCGGCGGGCCGCTCTTTCCCCGGCCGCTCCGACAGCAATGCTTATTGGCGGCGACACTCACAACAGCCTGGACGCGAGCTCCGGCGCGCGCACGGCCGCCGGAGGAGGACGCGCCCGGCCGCGCTCGTGCAGACGCGCCGGACCTGACCTTCGCTCCCGCCCCCGCGGCCGCGGGCCCCGCCGGGGGAAGCGCCGCCCCTGCCGAGGCGGACGTCGCGGAGCCGCGACATGGCGAGGCCTCTCCCGGGCGGCAGGTGGCCTGGCCGCGCCCGCCGCGCCGCGGGGCCCGAGAACGAAGCCCGACAGGGGGCGCCGGCCCTGCGCCCCCGCCGCGCCCCGCACGGTGACTCACGAATGCAGCACCGAGGCCTGACTCAGCCGCGCGGCGCGCTCCCGGGGGCGGGGCGGGGCCCGGGGAGAAGCGGGGCCCCGGTGGGGGCGGGGAGGGGAGGCCGCCCGCCCGCCGCCCGAACTGCGCCACACGCGCCGGGTCACGCGGCGCGCCGCCATCTTGTGCGGCCGCCATCTCCCCGCCGGCCCGCGCCGCCCGCCGCCCGCGGACTCACCGTTTTCGTCAAATAAAGACATAAACCCAACGCTGCTCGCCCGGGACTGGGATGAAGTGAGACGCGCGTGAACCCGAGTCCGAGGAGGGGCGGCGGAGGAGCGCAGCGAGCAGCGGCCGGGCAGGCGCCGCCGAGCAGCGGGGAGGGGCTGTCCCAGCGACGTCCGGGGTCCACACCCTTCAGCGCCCGGGGCCTGGCGACCTGGCGCGGAGAAACGTCGCCGTGAGCCACGGCCGACGGGGCGCCTTCCCCGCCAGCCAGCGGCCCGCGGGGGTCGAGGGGGCGGGGAGGACTGGGGCGGGGGCGCGGGGCCGCCACCTCGCCACCGGACTCACCTCTGGAATGTTCTCGCTCTGACTGAACAACGCCGCCGCCGCGCTCAAGCTACCCTTGGCCCCCAGTGCCCGCCCCCCGCGCCACGCGGCGCGTCCCATTGGCGGGAGGCCCGCCCGACCTCGCTCGTCATTGGCCCTTATGGCGTGTCCATCACGGCTTTCCCCGCCCCTTCTGCTTCCTGAGGCTCCACTCGCTGCCTCAGCCGGCCCCCAGCCCGGGTCCCGGCTTCCGCCACCTGCCTTCCCCTCCCCTGCGTTTCCCGGAGGCCTTCACGGTCTCGCGAGAGCGGGCGCGCCGCGGCGGGCTGAGGGGCTTGCCCGCGGGCCGCGCTCAGTCGGTTTGGCCCTGGGGGAAGATGGCGGTTGGCCCCCCATCCTCGCCCTCCCTCTCCCCCTCCCCCGCCGGCCGGACCCTGCCCAGTCCCACCCGAGCCCTCCCCGCGGCGGGTGCGCAGCCTCGCTTGGGGGGAAGAAGTTGTTTGGTCTCCTAACTTCCTAGGCCTGGGGCTTCCATCCTAGTCCCGCCTTCCCCCTCCGGGGCTCGGGTGTGGGTCTGCGTGGCCGCGGCGACGTGACCCACCGAGTCTCCGCGCCGGGGGCGTGAGGCCGGGTCCGTCCCTCTCCCCTGCTGCGGCCCGCCATGCTGCCCGGGCACCCAGCCCCCCGGCCCACTCCGCTGGCTGGCGGGGCCCGACCTCCTGGACGCGCTCCTCGGAGGCGGCCCCGTGGGGCGACCGGACAGCCCAGCCCACCCCCCGCGTGTAAGTTGTGACCTAGAGGCAGAGCGCAACCCACAGCCGGGGGCCCCAGGCCGTCACCCCAAAGCGAGCGCCATTGCAGACACCCCTCTTCTTTCAGAAACAGGTTTTGTGCTCAAGTTTCCGTTGCGACTGTAAAAACCCTGCAGACATTGGAAGACAGGCCGGGCTGCGGGGCCCGGGCGGCAGCGGAGCGGCTGCTGGGCACCTGCCGCCCGCGCCCCGCGCCCCGCGCCCGGTGACAGCGCGCTGGGAGGGGCAGGATGGCGCGCAGGGGCTGCCCGCCCGCGCCCTCTGTTCAGGGCAGATCTTGTTTGCAGGGAGGTTGGAGCTGAAAGATACGGTGATCTTTTTAGTAAGTTCAAGAGCCCTCTCCCATGGCGAGCGTTATAAGCCATTCTAAAGCGGACGGTGACCGTGGGGAGACGCGGAGCGGAGGAGCGCCTTGGGCCCCGGGCGCAGGGCCTCCCCCCAGGCAGTGTATGTCCCAGGCGGGTAACTGGGAACACTAGCGGGGGTGCCCCGGTTCCCAGGGGACACCCTGATAAGGTCGGCCCGGACACGCTGCTCTGGTTCACCTTGGAGCATGACTTCGCTGTCTTGAAACGGGAGTTTTTGCATGACTGCAGGCAAATGATGTTATTTTAGAAAACCTTTTTGGAAACTAGGGGCCTGAAACTGGTCTGAGGTAAAAAGCCTGCCACCTCAGCAAAGTTTTAAAATAAATACAAAGTGATTTAAAAAAAAAATTTTTGTACGTGTTATGGTCCATCATTAATTTTAAAAGTTTGTACTAATGTGAACTTTAATTTTTAGTGCCTGTTCTGTGGACAAAAAAGGGTTTTGTGGAAAGTAACCTCACAGGCTGATCGGATCATAAATCCCTGGCCCACAGTCACAGGTGGGGAGCCATGCCCCAGCTTACGGCTCTTTGGGAAAGAAGCAAGCCCTGGCCATTGCTTTTGTCGGCTAGGTTAATACACCTTGGAAATGAGCATAACAGCTGGAGAGCAGGTAATCTTGTTAACGCCTCTGTAACCCAATTACCACCTCGCTCTCTTCTACATGCATGTCATCTTCCCTACATGCCCTCGATTTCACATGCATGAGAGAAAACTGCAAAACTGTTAGTTTCCTAAGCATTTGAGATCTTGCTTCCTGGCAATTGTCATCAGTTTATTTATTTATTTTTTTAAAAAGAAGTCTGTTTATTGAAAGGATCTGAAAATAGTAATAAGGCTTTCAACAACATTTAATAAATTTTCAGGATATTAACAATATCAAACATTAAGAATTTACTTCAAAAACCCATAGCTTTCTAGACCATCCCATCATGCTGCCTCAGGGCGGGGGCAGCGCTGGCGTTCCATCTACCCAGTGACTGCAGACCAGCCCCCGTGGGTGGGCAGGTGGCAGTGAGAGCCCTCTTCTGTGTGCAACACCAGGCCGAGTGCCAGCACCGCTGAGTCCAGATGCTGAGGAGCCTCAGCAGGGACAAGAGTGGGCACAGCACTCAGTCAACACTCGTCCACACAGGCACGGAGGGCAGAGACGGTGCCCAGGCTGCCGACCGGCCAGAGACCCGGCTGAGGTGGCCACATGTGTGGCTCTGGACGCCTCATTAGCACAAGATTGGGGTGTGCGTCCCTGCAGTGGGAGGTCACTGCCCACCATGGCCCTGACGAGACATCAGTTTATTTTTAATTTAATATTTTTATTGGCTTTTAGAGAGAGGGAGAGAGAGAAATAGTGTGAGAGCAGAACATCAATTGATTGGGTGCCTTCTGCATACCCCCTAATGGGATGGAACCCCCAAACCCAGGAATGTGCCCTGACTGAAAGTCAAATCAGCAGCCTCTCGGTGCACGGGACAACGCCCAACCAACTGATCCACATGGGCCAGGGCAATTGTCATCAGTTTTGGCTTAGATCCTGTATAATAGAAGGCTAATATGCAAATAGTCCCTTTAACTGGGAGTTCAACCAGGGGGCAGGGGCAGGGCCAGCCAGCCCCACCCTCTGGTCACACTCCCCTGGCTGGCCTGCCCGGATGGAGGTGGCCTGCCGGACTTCACCCACGCTCCAATTCGTGCATCAGGCCTCTAATAGACACATAAAAAGTCACAACGGCTTTGGATGTTCTTATATCAACAGCACCCCTCCTTTGCATCCAATCACAGGCCATGCTCTTGGTTGAATGCTTCTATAACCTGGGCATTTGCTAAGTTCTTTGTTTACAACTAAGCCCCTAGGAGGAATTTTTTATTCCCATTTTATGAATGAGCAAACTGAGACTTAGTGGGGGCTGGGGGTGGAACAAGCAGCTTGCCCGAGATCGTGTACCTATTAAGGGGCAGAGCTAGAAGTTAGACCTGGTGTGTGTGTGGCCCCAGCATCTGTTCCCTCCGCCGCGGGACACAGCCTGCCCAGGGGAGCGTAAACAGCCTCACTTAATAACAACCTCGAGCCGTGTTGCCATACCCATTTCACAGGTGAGGAATGAGACTCGGGAAGGTGAAGCAATGTTCCGAGTCACCTGCCTATTAAACGGCGGGCAGCGTTGGAACTCCGGCATGTTTGACGCCAAGGTCACTGCCATTGCACAACTCGGCCTCCCTCTGCTGGTCCCCGCCTCTTCCGGCTGCTGTTTCCTCCGGCCAGGTCTCCGGTTGGCTACGTGATGGGCGCTGGTGCTTACGAAATCCATTGCAATGGGTTCCTGAAATACGCGTTTCAGCGCGGACAGGAGTAGCTGCCGGAAAGGTGAACTAGTCCGCTGGCTCCACGGCTGTGTGGGTA